CTATTTGCAGACAGTGCACCATTGATGATAAAGCGTTTGTGGCTGGCTTGGTGTTTACATTTCTCTTTGGATGTGTGCGGAGGACTTCACTATGACAGAGACCCTGGAACGGAGGGAATGAATGCTCTGTGCTGGTCCCAGCTGGACATCTATGTGTTCAGTGAGTTGTGTGGGTGTTGTCTTCAGCAACGGGGCCTTGCTGTTAGTTGTGGAGAGCAATCAATCACAAACTATAATCTTGGTGACAGCCTGAGTTGTTTGGGGATCCCAATGGGGCTCCTTTGGCCAACAGCTCCATTAGATGTAACCCAGTCCTGGTACTGGAAGCTTTTTGGTGACAGGAGATGGCCAGCTGGACTCTGTTTCCTTGTGGGGGCCGCCCTTACTCAGACCACCCCAGGCTATGGCCTGGCTACTCCATCCTTTCGCTGGGTCTCCTGCCTCTGTCCTGCTCAGATCTTCAGTCTTAAAATTTTAACCAGGGCCAACTCACACCCTCAAATAACCTCTGCCTGACATGTCACCTGAATCCATTTTTAAAGAGTGCTTATGTCCAGATTTGACTCAGGGCTCCCACTTCCCTCTGCCTGGGGTTCTGGGTACGCACTTCCTTCTCCAGCCTTCCCCAGCTGCCAGACCCGGTGGCCACAGTCACAGTGCCTCACCTCTCCGCACACATGACAACCCTCCTAGTCCCACAGTTCCCCAGACTGACCTTGACTGTTGAATAGGCCGGTCTGACTCCTCTCTGTTCCTCTTAGCTCTTTGCAAAACAAAACAACAGCTTAACTAGGGGATAATTCACAGCCCGCAATTCCCCTACTTAAAAGGGCACTGCATTCAGAGTGGTACAGCTATCACTACAATCACCTGTCACCCCAAAAGGAAGTCCCTTTCTCCCCACCTAACTGCCCAGACAGCCATCCATCTACAGCATGGCTCTGATTTGCCCATCTTTGCTTCTGCCGAGAGCAGTTCTCCTTGGAACCCTTCTATGGTTTTAACCTCCCAGGCCAGGGCCAGGCTGGTGTCTCACAGCCCCTGATCCAGCCTTCCTGCTGTGCCAGGACTCCAGGAGGCTCCCAGGCTCACACTTCCACCTCTGCTCCTCTGTGTCCTCCCAGTTCCCATCTACCCCACACCTCCCTGTAATTCTACCTTCTGCCTATCTACATCCTGTCAAATCCCACGAACCCACAAATCCAAGCGCCCCCCTTCTCTATCCTCATATCTTTTAGCTCCTCACGCCTTCCATGTCTGCTCACACTCCCCACATCTCAACTTCACCCTCCCCATACTCCCCCCCTTCTCTCTCCTCACCTCCCTTCCTTTCTTCATCTCTCCTCACATTTTACCTTTTCTCATCTCCTTCACTTTTGTACACTGGCATCTTGATGCTGCCCCACACCTCCCTACAACCTCATCCCTCTCTCACCTCCTCAGACCGTCCTGTACCCTACCTCTCCACCCCTCCCTCACCTCCTCAGACTTTCCTCTACCCCACCTCTCCACCCCTCCCTCACCTCCTCAGACTTTCCTCTACCCCACCTCTCCACCCCTCCCTCACCTCCTCAGACTGTCCTGTACCCCACCTCTCCACCCTTCCCTCCCCTCCTCAGACCCCTCTGTACCCCATCTCTTCACACCTCCCTACCCCTGCCTTTGATCATCCCCTCTTTTATCTGACACCTCCCTTGGTCTTTCACCTCCCCGCACCTCTCAGATCTCCTCACACTCCCTGTCAGCCCACCCTGTCAGCCCGCCTGCTTCCCTTCAGACTTCCCCACCTCACACTTCCCTGCTTGTCCTCAGACCCTTGCACCTCCTGTCTCCTCACTTCCCCTCAGACCTTCCTGGGTCTCACATCCCTCCACACCTCATTACCCATCCTCATGCCTGATTCAATGTCTTTCTTCCTCTCACCCTTTCCTACACCCTCCATCTTCTCTTCCCTCTTCTTTCTTCGCTGGTGTTTGTTTAGTGTATGCCTGTTTGTCTTCAGGTCAGGAACCAGCTTCCTTTCCACAGTTCTTCAGAGGTCAGCCAAGTGCCTGCTGCCTACTCTGGCAGTCCTTTGAGGGGCCCATTAGAATTGTTTCCTTAATCTCTTGTTGAGTTCACCCCTTAAGCAGTCAGGTGGTGGGGTCTCCTTCCTGCACCTTTTGTGGCTCTGACTTTGTATCCATCAGGATATATGTGCTGTCAACAGCTCTGTAAACTGCAGGAGTGATTCATCTTTGCCTCTCCACCAAGGAGCTTCTTGTATTCCCAGCTGAGCTCCTGGAGTCAGTGCAGGCTCACAGAGATGGGTAGTGGGATAAGAGGCTCCAAGGACCAAGACTTCATGTGAGGCTGGTTTCCATCAATCTTTAATGAAGGCCTGCAGACAGAATGGGTGCACAGGACAGCCTGGAATTATTACCGCTTTACAACTTAGCGCAGAGTGTATGTCTTAATTAATGAGGACAAAATTATGTTCAAAATCTTTATATTTGCATTGATATATCAGTATGCTATCTATCAAATATCCGTTCTCATGTCACTAATATCTCAGTTTCAGTCATCAGTCATTTCTGTAAACTTTAGGGAACTTAAGTTTTAGGACTAGGGAAGAGTTCTGAGCACAGTCTGAGGAGCCTGGCTGCATTCAGAGGAGATGCCGTAGCCACACTTGCAAAGTGGGTGGGGCTTTTGTTTTGATTTTGATTTGTTGGCTTGGGAGGATCACGGTGGTGTCCTTCTATCATCTGGGATGACTTCTTCCCTTCAGGCAGGGAGGAGACCTTAGTGGTGAGTTAGGGTTGGTAGCTTAGCGTCATCTTTGATAGCAGCAGGTGAGAGGAGTGACTTTCCTATTTAGTGTATTCCTTGGATTCATGTCCAGGGGCTAAAACTTGGATACATTTTAAATGTGCTCTTCCTAATTAATACTATTTTTTATTTTTATTTTTTTGGTTTTTCGAGACAGGATTTTGCTGTAGTTTTAGATCCTGTCCTGGAACTAGCTCTTGTAGACCAGGCTGGCCTCCAACTCAGAGATCCACCTGCCTCTGCCTCCCGAGTGCTGGGATTAAAGGCGTGCACCACCACTGCCTGGCTGCTCTTCCTAATTGTTGTTGCCATTCTCGTTGGTGTTGTTACTGATTCTCAGGCTGCCATGAACACGCCATCTCTACCACAGGGCAGTGTTCCTCAGCATCTGTTCTCTGAGCAGCCATTAGGAAGACTGAGTGAAGAAATCAGTTTGGAAAACTGACGTACAGCATGTTTCTCTTAGAGACTGACATTATAACAGTTTTTTTTTTAAAGTATCTGAGAACTCCTGTAGGGAACAGGTATTTTCTGGGGCCCCAAGACAGGTCAGTGGGTAAAGATACCTGCTGCCAAGACTGATGGTCTGGGTTTGATCCCTGGGACCCCCGTGACAGACTCAAAGATGCTCTTTGACCTCCACCTGCGTGCACGGCACATCTGTGCCCATATTCATGCATACACAAATGATTTAAGAAGATAAGTATGTTTTCTAATGTTTCTGCATGTATTTGCTCACATGACCATATTCTCAGTTTCCAATACTGTTTATTATTGATTACCCGTTTTGTTGGAACAGTGTAAAGGTTTTGCCTCAGAGCTAATCCTCACACATGGGTTGCCGTGCTGAAGCAGGTGAATGTTTCCAAGATGTGTGTGCTGGAAATGGGAACCCTGCCCTTTGTGTGGGGCTGGGAAAGGATTTTCATGGGTCTTGGCTAGGGTCGTTGGGTCTCCTCCGAGTTCATTCATTGTGTCCTTCACTGAAAGTGGGCAGGCAGAGCTGCAGGGCCAGGGACTTCTAGAAGCAAAAAAAGCATTTCCTTATTTGTAAGGTACATAGTTGGTGGGGCTGTTTTGACCAAGGGATTGTGGGGACTATTTTGTGTCTCTTGAGTGAGGACACCATTCTGCACATTCCAGAGAAAGCAGACACAGCATCGGCCAAGGCGGGGAGTGAGCTGGGATCCCACAGGAGCCCTGGGCCTCCATTCATAGTCTTTCCCATGTCTTCGTGTGACCGAGGCCACACCTGCGGCACTGCTGAGGGCAGAGATGATGGTGGCCCAGTCTGAGACTGAGTCCGCAGCTTGTAAGTCTGTGCTCCCGCCAGCTGCAGTTAGAGACTCTTTTAGTAGGTCTGCATATCTGGACACATTTTCTTTGGTGGGACTGTAAGCCATCGAAGGCAGGGCTGGTCTTGGCCTTCTCTTTGCTGACAGCATCATGCATGGGATAGGACCACTCACATGTGTCCAGGCTGGCAGTGTAGCTCCCAGGGGCACCATGGGTAGGGATGGTTAGTCTCACGGTAAAGCCACTGAGCGTTAGGGACTTGTAGATAGTGAGTTAAAGAAAGCTACAGACGTTGAACGAGCCTGACTGTAGCACAACATTAAACAAAGTGATGTATTTTTAAGATAAGATAAAGCACCTTTTTTGTATGTGACAAGAGTCTTGCCTTGGCTGGCTCTAAATTTTTGAATTTCCTGAGTTTGGGGATGGTGGTCAAATACCACCGTGCCTGCTTTAAAAACACCCCTTAAAAGTCTTTTCTGTCTTTTCTTCATTGGCTACTTTAACGAAGTCCCCCCCCCCTTTTTTTTGTTTTGACTTATTTTGTTTTGGTTTGGTTTTCTGCAGTCCTGGGAACTGAGCCCAAGACCTTGTTCATGTTAGGCAAGCCCTTGACTGAGCTCAGGTATTCATTAGTATGCATCCTCGGTCCTTACTTTACATTTCAAGACAAGGTTTCACTGAGCTGCTGAAGCTGACCTTAAACTCACTTTGTAGCCTGGGCAGTCCTGGAACCTGGTGCCCTCTTCACCTCAGCCTTTTGAGAACTGCTTCTCAGTGTCAGGGAAAGTGCCTGGTACCTGGCTGTAAAGGAAAGGGACTTTAAGTGATGGTGACATCTTGTTGCTAAACACTTTAATGCCCCAATCTTCCATGTTTTTCTGTCATTGCAGGTGATTTTCAAAGCCAAGTCAAAATATTCTCCAGAATTACTCAAGTATCGGTAAGTACCTCAGAACGTTGCTTCTCAGACAAAAGGTCAAAGTGTACAGAGTGGGTACACTTACCCTCTGTAAACACCAGACAGCCCTGCAGTGGTCCTGTTTGCCTAATGGAGTGCTCTCCTTGTTCATGAGAGCTGGCACATTGCTGGGTTTGCTGGAGTCCTGTGGAACAGTGTACACACACACACACACACACACACATACACACATACACACACACACCAGGCTGGAGTCCTGTGGAACAGTGTGTACACACACACACACACGCACACACACACACACATACACACCAGGTTTGTATTGCACTCTCTGTCCTTCTTCCTCAGCCTTCTTCCTGCTGGCTTTGCAGATTGTACTATCATGCTTGCTTCAAACACTATTTAATACAACATAGCTTTCGGTCAACTGCTCACCCAGCATGCATGAAGTCTTGAGTTCAACTCCCAGTACTGTAAAAAACCAGATGTGGTGCACACCTATGATCTCTGGACTCTGGAGGAGGAAGCAGAAAGATTAGAAGTCCAAAGTCATCTCAGCTAGATACCAAGTTTCAGACTGTTCTGATTTATTCTAGAAGCCCGGGAGAAGGCTGTGGTCTGAGGGACTCCTCTAGTGACACGCTCAGTTTAAGGGAAAAGGTGATCACATATGTTCTTCCTGATGGTCCGTGTCCTTCCCTGCATTGTCAGAGAAACTGGTCATTCTCCAAAGCTTAGAATGGTCAGATTTAGGTCAGGTGTAATGGTACACACTTGTAATCTCAGCCCTTGGGCTACTGAGGCATGATCCTGTGCTCGTGGCCTCCTGTGCTGTGAATTTTGAGCTAATCTGGGCTCACGAGACCCATTTCATCAAAGACGAGCAATAATGATCAAATTTGGCTATGGGGACATAGTTTTTAAAAAAGGCCTCAGAGAGGGCTGGGGCACATTGCAATCTTTGGGCTTGCCCCAAAGCACTCCCCCACCATGGGCACAAAACACTGGAAAAGTATTGAATCCTTATGTCACCACAAAATGTACACAGATTTCACTTCCATACAGTTGGCCTTCCACATCTGTGGAGTCAACATCAGTGGATCAGAAATACTCAGAAATAGGCTGATGTCATGGCTCTGTGGTTCTGAGAGTGTACTGCTCATCCAGGGGACCCAAGTTCTATCCCCAGAACCCACATGTAGAGAATGTAAAGAGAACCAGCTACCATAAATTGTCCCCTGATTTCCACCTGTGTGCTGTGGCACATGTACCCACATACATACATTATATACCCCCCCATGCACACTAAAAATATCACTCCCCTGTAAAAAAAACCTTCCAGAAAGAAATTGCATCGGTACTGAACATATACACATATTTTCTTGTCAGTCATTTGCTGTCTGTTGGTTATCTTGCATGACACAGACTTGATTTAGGTTATACAGGAAAATGTGCAAAGGTTCTGTGTAAACAGGTCTTTTTATATAAGGGTTGTCCAGGCATCCTTGGATTTTGGTGTCTTTGGTGTCCTGGAATGAATCTCTTGTAGATACTGAGAGATGACTGTGTATGTAATGAGGATTCTACAATATTTATTCAACGCTCAATCTGTTTAAATGCTTTTGAGTGTGTGTGTGTATTTGTGTATATAGGGATGCCCGAGGACACTGGAAGTGTTGGCTCCCTCTGGAGCTGGAGTTATATGGTGCTGTAAGCTGCTTGCTGTGGGTGCTGGGGATTGAACCCAGGTCCTCTGGATGAGCATACACTCTCATAACCACAGAGCCATCTTTTTGGCCATAAGAAGAGTTATTTTTTTAAAAAATATTTTATTTATTTATATTATGTGTATAGCATTCCTTCCATGTGTACCTGCAAGCCAGAAGGGGGCGCCAGGTCTCATTATAGATGGCTGTAAGCCACCATGTGGTTGCTGGGAATTGAACTCGGAACCTCTGGAAGAGCAGTCAGTGCTCTTAACCTCTGAGCCATCTCTCCAGCCCCAAGAGTTATTATTATTATTTTTTTTTATCCCCAATCTGTATCTGGGGAAACAAGTTCAGAAAACTGTGTGTGGATTGGGAGTCTGTGCCCAACACTGCCTGCCTGCAGTTTGTCTGCTCTGATTCTGTCACTGCTGCTGGGTCGTTCTCTGTGTGTTTCCTTCACACCGTTGAGCAGGAGCTTTATCCACTAGATGCTGGGGCATTGGGGCCAGGAGGTAGAGTATCCTTAATCTCAAAATTACAAATACCCTCGACACCAGAGCACCTGAATGTGCTGATGAAACATAATTGTTTTGTTTTGTTGTTTACACTTGGGGTCTGTTCCTGAGATACCTCACTCTAATTTATATTCCCAGCTTTTAAAACAACTTAATTTTTATAATTAATTAATCATACTTGGGATTAAACCAGGGCTTTGCCTAGTCACAAGCATTTTGCATGAGGGATACTCGGTTTGTAACAAGTAGAACGCTGTTTTATGGTAACAGCCCAGCTTGTCTGTGCTCTGCACCGTCATCTCCCGTTATGGTGCTAATCAGGCTGACCCTGCTTAGCTTTTGTGGTCTCTGGATTAGTGATGCTCAACGTGGGAAGAAATAAAACGATGCTGCCTTCGCTTGCAGCTCCTCCACCTCCCAGGACCTGCAGTGATGTGAGCCGTTGAGGTTCTGCGTCTTCCAGACAGGGCAGTCTGACCTCTTCTGTTTTGTGGGGTAGGGGTGGGAGTCTGGGATGGAGTTTCAGTCCCCCTTGTGCCTATGTCCAACCCCAATCACATACTCCTTCTGGTATGTCAGGATCTCATTTCTCTGGGCCACATGTTCCTCCTTCCAGGGTACACACACACTCTGAGCTCCTTGTCGTTAGAGCTGGCTTCCCCTTTTCATCAGATGAGCCAGGAGTGCATGTGGCTCTGGGTACAAGGCTGTGCAGGGAGGCATCCACGGTCCCCTGGAAAGATACTCTTTGTTCATGCCAAATTCTCTCCAGCAAGAGGATATTGTAATTTGGGAACCAGAGGGAACCAGGTTCAGGTATCTCATGCAGGGTTTTGGGCCTGAGCCCTTCCTTCTGAGGCGAGGTTTCATGTATTTAAGGCTCACCTCCAGTTCATTAGAATGTCACTGAAGATGGCTGTGAACCGCTGATCCTTTTCTGGTTCCACAATGTGCCGTGATGACAGGCGTACACCAGCACTCCCGGCTAACTCAGCACTGGGAATCTAACCCAGGGCCTCATATGTGCCAGGCGAGCACACTAGCGGCTGAGCCATGTTCTTCCATCTCAGAACATACAGAACAGCGGCAGAAAACCCTGCCTGCGGTGGTGTGAGCACAGTCAGGCCTCAGGCTCTGAACCTTGAGTAGGTGGGGGCAGGCATGACTTGGTTCTTAAATCTCTCTGGTTGTCAGTCATGAGAAACCTGTGGAATTTAAGTGTGAGGGACCCAGGAAAGCTAAGAAAATGGAGGGTGCATGAGGGTCAGAGGCAACCAGAGGTCTCTGTAGCAGCTACTGGGCTGAGCTACAGGCTGTTCTGGAAGCCAAAGAGCAAAAGGCTTTGTGGGATCACAGCTTCTAACTGGTGTTGAGACTAGAAGCATAGGTCACTTGCACCAGTCTAGTGTGTGTGTGTGTATGCATGTGTGCAGGGGGCGGGGTACAGGCATGCATATGTGTCCACTAATGCACTCAGAGGCCAGAGGAGGACATTGATGTTGTGCGTCCAGCTCTATCGCAGTCCTTATTCTCTTGAGGTCGTCTCCCACTGAATCTGGAACTAGGCCAGACAGTTCCCATCTGTCACCCTAGCCACCTCCAGTCACTGGGCTGCAGGTGTGTATGGCCATGCCCTTTTTGTGAATGTTCTGGGGATGTGAACTAGGGCTGAGCGAAGCCCTCAACGCCAGTCCGTTTTTGAGCCACACGATTTCCCTCTTTTTTGCATTTCTACCACGTGGGTCTGAGGGAAGAGCTATAATGGGAGTGTGAGAGGAGCCTGAGGCGAGACCCCGAGCGCCAGTGAGGCAGAGCAGTCTGCGTCACCTGTGGTGGTCTCTTACACGTGTGTAGCTCTGAGAAACTGTAAGCGGGAACTGGCGGGGAAATGAACCATCTGCGGCTTGGCTCTGCAGTTTGATAAGAATAATCCATTTAGCATTTATTAGTTGCCGTGGCAGGTTTGTGTTGTGGTTTCCTTGCATTGTTAGAGCCCAAATCCAGGTCTCTATGCTAGGCAACGGTTTTGCCACTTAGCTAAGTTCCCAGCCTCAGCTGCGGCAGGGTTTTTTTGTTTCGTTTGGTTATTTTAAACCTGTATTCATTTTATGCATGAGTGTTTTGTCTGAGTGTATCTGTGTACACCTCGTGTGGGCCTGGTTCCAGTACAGACCAGAAGTTGACCCTTGGGCTGGAGTTACAGACAGTTGTAAGCTGTCATGTGGGTGCTGGGAATTGAACCCAGGTCCTCTGGAAGGAAGAATTGCTGAGCTGTGTCTGCAGCCCAGGTGGCAGGTTTTTACTGATGGGAGCTCTCTGCAGCTGGTGATTGTGGGGAGGCATACAACACATATGCAAATGATGTGTTAACTACATCCAGCTGTCCCTTAGCATTTGCGAGGGATCGGTTCTGCGACCCAGAATGTAGCACTCAAGTAACATCCTGGTGTCTCGTTATCCCCAGGTTACCCCTCTACCTGGCCTCGCTCTTCATCAGCCTTGTGTTCCTGCTGGTGAATCTGACCTGCGCTGTGCTGGTGAAGACGGGAACCTGGGAAAGGAAAGTTATCGTCTCTGTGAGAGTGGCCATCAATGATACACTCTTTGTGCTGTGTGCCGTCTCTCTCTCCATCTGCCTCTACAAAATCTCCAAGATGTCCCTAGCCAACATCTACCTGGAGTCAAAGGTAAGGTGGGAATGTGGCAAGTTCCTTATTCTGAAAACGGCTTCCTGGCTTGCACCTAGGGCACAACAGATCTTGCTCGCCCTGTGGCTCACCGAACTTTGTGTGAACTTTTATTTCCGGGTGGCTTAGCATACGTTAAGTGTGTAAAGTTGTTGGGAAAGCTCAGTCTGGTTTAGAGCTATATCTGTTGAACCGTTAACTCATTTTTGTGGTGCTGGAGATCAAATCCAGGGCCTGTGCATGTTAGGCAGCATCTCCCACTGAGTTACAGCCCTGCACATATGAAAAATTCTTATTTGGAGACAAGGTTTTTGATGTTTCCCAGGCTGGCTTTGAACTCAGCAAAGGCTAGCCTCAAACTTGTGGTCCTGCCCCTTAGGCCTCTGAGTAGTTAGGACTAGCAGAATGTACCATTAGGCATGGCTGAACCCACATCTTAATGTCTAGTAGTATAGCTATACCAACAACACTAATAGCATGCATGTGTCTAGTGTTGACTGTCCTTGGTCCCTTGATAAACACCCTTTTGGGGATGGGGTAATGGGCTCAAACTCAGGGCATAGTGTATATCAGGCAAAATCTATACCACTCAGCTCTGTCCCCAGCCTTTAAAAAACAAAGAAAAAAAACAAAACAAAAATCATAAGACAGGGTCTCGCTGAGTTGCCTCAGCAGGCCTTGAACTCACTGTCACCCAGGCTGGACTTAACTGGTGATAACCCTGCCTCAGCCACCATCACTATAGCTGGGATTATGGGCTTACACCTCCAGGCCTGACTTGACAAGCATTTTTAGTGGGAGTGTTAAATCCCACTTAATGGATAAGGAAACAGAGACACGCCCAGAGAGGTCAGGAAGCTTGTCCCAGGTCAGCAAATGAGGGCCAGGGTTCATGGCCTCCATGGTGACTCAGATTTCCTTGCCGGTGGAATGTTCCCAGCGCTTGCTCTGGGACAGCCAGGGGGACTGGCCCCTCACCTCCATCCTCACCCTGATCACTCCTCTGGTCTGGCCCTGTCAGTTGTGAGGAGCCTGGGATTTCTCCAGCGTCTGTGTTTTAGCTACCCTGTGACAGACCTGCTGTCGCCTTCCTCTGGAACTCTCAGGGTCTCCGTGTGCCTTTGGCCTGAAAACTACAAGGGTTGTCTTTAGGGAGGGGTCAGTAGATGAAGATCCCTACCTCTAGCCCTCACAGGGCACCCCGTGATTCAGCTGGACTCATGAAAATCCTCCATTAGCTGGGCCATTTTACATTTATTTTTTGCCATCAAGTTCATTATCTTACTTCTAATACATGAGTTGTGCATAAAATTTTGAAAAAAAAAGCTCAGTTTTTAAAAGGGAGGCTTAAACAGTGGATGTCAGATATTAGCTGACCCCTGTGACAGATGATTCTTCAGTGCAGGACGCAGTCAGTTCTGCTTTCCTGTGGTCCTTTATCAGGTTCTGCCTCAGTTAAAGCTTCATAAAGAGGAATAAGTCACAGACAACCCATGACCCCATCCCAGAGGCCGAGCAGGACTCCTGTGCTCCTAGCCTTGAAGGTTCTAGACCTTGAACAAGGCCATGTGTATCCTGACCGGGGCTTGCGGGCTGTGCCAGGCAGTCAGCCAGGATCTTGTCACTGAACCGTGGGACTTAAGGGATCCCATGAGCTTTGTGACTTTCTGGCTCTTAAGATCAAGGCCTTGGGGGCTAGGTGATGCCAGTGAAGGACCTGGCTCCGACTCCCCCAGAAACCACATTAAATGTGGAGTGCAGCATCATGCGCTCGTAATCACAGTGCTCAGCAGAGGGGGCAGGAGGACCAGCAAGCTCCAGGTACAGTGGGTCCCTTTCTCTAGCACAGGGGAGAGTGTGACCCAGGAAGACACTACGAGACACACACGGAAAGAGGCCTGCAGTTGACCCTCTTAGTGGCATCGTCCCAGTCCCATGTTTTAGATGAAGGGTGCAGAGGCAGCAGGGTCAGGAGTGGGATGCCCTGGCAGCTCTGGCTGCCTTGCAAGGCTCTCAATTATCAAGGCCCACTGGGTGACACCAGGGATGGGGTCAGTGGCCCACTCCTGTTGGCTTTGTCTTCCAGGGCTCATCGGTGTGTCAGGTGACTGCTGTCGGTGTCACCGTCATCTTGCTCTACACCTCTCGGGCCTGCTACAATCTGTTCATCTTGTCGTTTTCGCAGATCAAGAATGTCCACTCCTTTGATTATGACTGGTATAATGTATCAGACCAGGTCAGTGGGGGCGTGACAAGGTGCTGCCTCAGTGGGGACCAGGTCAGTGGAGACCAGATTGGTGGGCAAGGTATTGCTTCAGTGGGGACCCGATTAGTAGGATACAGTGAGTGCTGTCTGCTGGAAAGCCAGACTCCCCGTTTCTGCTATTGTCCAGTCCTGCCCTGTGGGAGTTGATGGCCCACTGATGTGCAGACACAGATGAACCTCTGTGGTAGAGAAATGAACCCCTCTAGTAGGACTCCGTTGGATTGCTTTGCAATACTTCTTAGGGTTATCTGGAAAAGCAGCAGATACCCAAAAGTGTGTAAGTCCAGGTATAAGATGTCAGCAGTGCTCACAGCTGGAGCTGATTTAAGACGGTGAGATAAAAAATGACCTCAGTGAGCTAAACCCACAATGGCTATACACATTCTATCCCTGTAAAAGATGAAACCACGGCTGTAACCTGTCCCACAGGTGCAGCAGGGAGAAAGCTGGGCAAGGATGCTCAGGTCCACATGCCGTTTAAGGAAAACCAGACATGAGAATCCTAGACCTTAAACAGTGGTTGATTCCAGAGGTGTTCATCATACACGTAAGGGTTTTCAAGAGCAGACAGTAGCACTGGTGCACACCATTCAAACCATCACTACTGCCCACTTGACCTTTTCCTCTTCCCAAACTGAAGCTTCATCAAGCAACAGATTTGGTTTTAAGTTACTTCTGTTTTTCTTTCAGCCAAGAGCCTAAAACCTCTACGTTTGGGTGCGATGGTTTTGGTGGTTTCAAGCACCTGCACCTCCTTGGGGAATGGGCCACAGCACTGGGCTGAGCTGCGGTTGTCAAGGAGATGTAGGAGACATGAGTGCCGTCTCCCTAGGGAGGAGTGAGGCAGCCTTTAGCATGATGTGCTGGAGAAGGCTTGAGGACCAGGCTGTGGCTCAGTGTTCTCTTCCCAGTAATGGGCCGGGAAGCTGCCATATCCAGTTCATCTCTACTCTGGGACCTTCCCTCCATGAAGCCCTCATGGCCCTCCCCTTGGGCACTTCCTTGCTCAGGGGACTTTTCCTGGACAAACTGCCTGTGATCAGCTCTTGTGGGAACAGGGCGTGGCTATTGTGAAGATGAATCTGGGCAGACAAGCTACTTTCCTTTAGGGGAGGAGTCTGGGCTGGGTGTGGGCTCTGGGTTCATCCCCTGAGCTGCAAGAGTAAATGAGTGGCCAGTCATAAATAGCCATCTAAATGGCCTCCATGTCCTCTAGCCGGGGCCTGACCCATCACTGAGACCAGGTTTCAAAGTGTGGGCTTTAGGAGGGGCCTATCACTGTGCCTAGGGGTGATCTCTGCTCTGTGTCTTCCACCACTGGTTGCCTGAGGTCTCCTGACTTCATTTTCCCCACTCTGGAACAGGCAGACCTGAAGAGCCAGCTGGGTGATGCCGGCTATGTAGTGTTCGGCGTGGTGCTTTTCGTGTGGGAGCTCCTACCCACCACCTTGGTGGTCTACTTCTTCCGAGTCAGAAGCCCCACGAAGGACCTTGTAAGTACTCAGTCTCTGTTTGCTGGCACCCCAGCACCCCTAATCCTCTTGAAACCAGCAAGTAGAATTTCCCTCCTAGTTTTTCAGTGAAAAGTGACCATTGTGAGGTAGGCTCTTCTTTAATTTTCATTTCTTTTATAAAATAAAGAAAATGCGTTTGGGGGTTTAGCTTTAAGAGAATTAAGGTACATCTCATGGCTCAGGAACTAGTGAGAATCTTGGACCTTAAGCAGAGTGCGATCACAGAGGTGGTTATCATACACTCAAGGGTTTTCAAGAGCAGACTAAGGATTCCCACTGCCACACAGTGTTCACTGCCCCCCCCCCCCCCCAATGCTGCTCTTTTAGTAGAAGACGGAGGGAGGTATGGCAGTTGGTAGAGTACTTGCCTGACATGCATGAAGCCTTGGGTTTCATCCGCAATACCACAAAATCCAGGCATGTAATCCTAGCACTGGGGAGACAGAAGCATGAGGATCAGAGTTTCAGTCATATTTGGCTACGTAGTTAGTTCAAGGCCAGCCTGAGCTACATGCTACTTTGTCTGAAAGACTGGAGACTCACTTTCTCCCAGAGTGATAGCAGCTCATCAGGGAGTGGGAGAGCAAGGCAGTGGCTTCAGTGGCCTTGCTAGAGCCACCCACTTGTGTTTGGCCACATCTGCTGAGCCAACCCTCTAGAAGAGAAAACCAAGTCAAATTCAGAATCCCCTGGAAGCCTTGCCGCACCATACAAGCTGGGGTACAGCTTTGTCTTCCTGGGTCATACACTCGGGGGAGGGGCGGCAGTGTGAGTGATTGCGTCACAGAATGATGCATGTAGACATGACACAGCTCCTGGTCCATACCTTTGGGTGGTCCCTGCTGAGCCAGGCACAGGAAACAGAGTAAGGTAAGGGGGGGATGGAGTCCAGTCTGGCTCTGCCTTCCCTGCCAGGATGGACTCCAGCAATGCCCATGTGCTTATACAGGTCTCCACATGGACTATCTGCTTTAGTTTGGGGAACTTCTTGTCGTTTTGAGATAAAAAGTCTGCTGTAGAATACAGGCAACAACAACAACAACAAAAAATCCTGCTGTAGAATTTGAGCTTGAGACAGAACCTCTTGCCCCAGCCTCCCAAGTGCTGGGACTGTGAGTGTGAATGGCCATGCCTGGCTATTTGGATGTATCTGTGGAGGATATGTAATTCATATGAACAGTAATCCACCATTGGAACTAAGAACGCCATTGTGAGGTTTATACAGGCTTATGTTTTTGCCCCTCTTCTCTCCCTGTTACCCTCACTCCTCCTGATCTCCTTTGTCTCACCAACTAGTCTGTCCTCTTCCTGCTTTCTGGTCCTTTTTTTACAAACTGCCTATAGATCCTTAAAGAAAGCAGCCCCTCCCTCCTCCATGATGTATTTTGGGGACTGGGGATGGTAGCTCAATTGGTAGAATGTTTGCCTAGCATGCAGAGAACCACCTTAGGTTCAATCCCAAGCACCTGAGAGGTAAAGGGAGGAAAATCAGCAATTGAAGGTCATCTTTGGCTACTGAGGTTGAGGCAAGCCTGGGATTCATGAGACCCTGTTTAGACAAGAAGAAAAAGAGAAAACAGGCACATTAAACACTCTAGCCAATGGCAGCACTCCTTCCTCATGCTAGCAGGCAGTTGTGGATGCTAAATGCTAACATCTTCTTCCAGACCAGCCCTGGGATGGTCCCTAGCCATGGATTCAGCCCCAGGTCTTACTTCTTTGACAACCCCCGAAGATACGACAGTGATGATGATCTTGCCTGGAACATTGCTCCTCAGGGACTTCAGGGAAGGTAAGAGCCTGCTTCTGGTGGAGAGAGACTACCCCTGACAGAACTGCCCTGCATGGGACGTAGCCAGGGGTGAGAGAAAACCAATGGTCTTTAGAAGATCCCCTCCCCAGCATTCTTCCTACTCAGTATTCCATGGAATGCTTGATAGCTGTGCTAATTGTAAAGAAATCAACCTTTACTTATGACTCCTCCGAGCCTCCCCAGAAAGCGCCAGGGTATTTGCTGCTCGAATCACTCAGTGTGGAATGTGAACTGGGACATCCAGGCAGACATCTCTGATCCTCTTCTAGAGCCAGAGAATACATGAACAATAATCACTAGAGTGAATATATTTTAAGAACCAAAATTTTGAAATTTGCCATTCTTAAACAGTAATTTAGTAAGATATTCACAAATATCGCTTCATTTAGTGTTTGCTACAACCCTATGAGGTCAGTATAGTTGAGTTCTCATGATTCAAGACCTGTCTGAGGGAGTCCCTTTGCTGGGTAAGCAGTGTGGCTGGCCCTGGAGCACACTCAGTGTCAGAGCACATGGGAACTGCCTCCCTTTCTTAAAAACTCACTAGCAGACTGGGCTCAGTCTGTTCTGGGGTGGGCGCTTACACGTATTAGCATTCACAGTGGTGTGTGTGCTCAGGGCAGTAAACAAGCTGTACCTGGCTGCCTTCAACTAGTTCCAGTCTGGATAACAGCTAGGAAAGGGGAGGATGGGAAGCACCCGCCCGCCAGGGCCAGGAGCAGCCCTCATGGCTTCGGTTCCTCCTTACCTTGTGCGCTATCTGCCCAGTGCTCAGAACGCGGTGCTTGCTTTGCTCTCTGTATAACAGAGAAAGTCCTTGGGAATGAGAAGAGAGCTCTGAGAGGACCTTGGTTTGGGATACAAAGCTGAAACAGAACACATTCCTGTCTCCTTGGGTAGGGAGGAGAGATCCATGATCATATAAAAATTAAAAGCAAGGTAGCAGTTAAGGAAAAGCACAGAGCAGCCATGTGTAGAGTACAGTCCCTGGAAGCAAGCCAGTGTGCAAAGATTACCCTCCCAGAGTTCGGGCTCCACTTCTGCCTAAAATTATTGTTCTCTTACCTAGCTACCCTGCTGGAGCATCCCTAACCTTTTCTTGCCAGAAGTTAACAAGAAACAAGAGCAGAGTAGAGAGTACTCACCCTGTACACAGAGAAAGAAAAGACTGTATTCCATGATAGAATACTGTTTTCATTTTCCTCTGAGTTCTAATGAGATCTTAGATATTGCTTTTGAGAAGTGTCCACTCAACCCTGACAACAGCCCAACAAGAAGTTACTAATGTCACTCCTGTCCCACAGATGAAGAACTTGAGATTTAGAAGTTGTCTGTCCAGAATGTACGGGTAGTTCACTATAATGCCACCATAGGGTTCAGGCACAATTTTTTTTTTTTGCTAAAACTATGTTCTCTACAGTGGCTAGTTTTAGGTTCTAGTAGTTTTGAGTTCTGAGCACTGCAGAGTCCAGTAGACTTGAACACAGGCCACCAGAGCTGTGTGTAGCTGTTGGTTGGAAAATGGGCTTCAAGACACTGGTGAAGAACTCGGGTCTGTTGCTAATGTCAAGCCCCTGAACTGGTTTTGTTTGTTTGTTTAAAGTTTTGCTCCAGACTACTATGATTGGGGACAACAAGGTAACAGCTCCCTGGCCCAAGCAGGAACTCTGCAGCAAGACTCCACTTTGGATCCAGACAAAGCCAGCCAAGGGTAGTACCAGCTGACAGTCCTGTGCAAGAGTCCTCTGTTGGAAACCTTCAGCCAGACTGGATGACAGCTGAGTTTTTAGGGCACTTTTCCTTATGAAACAGACTCCAGTTTTTTTTTTTTTTTGCAATAGCTTTCTCAAGGCTAGGTAGGACTAAGCAATAATTCAGAGTGATAAACTCTTAACTTTAGTACTAGCAGAGAGCCTGGCTATTTCAGTGGGTATAATTTAAACTTTTAAAAGAGATTCTGGTCTTTTATAAAGATGTATTTTGTATAACTTAAATACTAATGCTAAAGTATACTAGGTTTTTTCCTTGATTGTTATTGCAATGTTGTAGTTTGCACAGATTTTCATGCATAATTCACTTTAGAACGTATAGAATACGTGGTCTAACAGTTTAAAGATCCTTCCGTCTGAAGGTCATTGAAGGTCCCAGTGATTGTGACGCCTGTAACTGCCACTCCAGTGTTGAAAGTCTAGGGAAGCAGGGGACGGTGGTCTGTAGTAACAGGCTCCACAGCAGCAGTCTCTCCTGAACCCTGCCCATAGCCTGGTGCTTCTTCACCGACAGCACTACTGTACGCACTCCAGGAACAAACAGAAGCTGTCAAGATGCACTCGCCAACACTAGTCGGCCGCCTCGGCCGTGTAGGTAGCCACTTTGTAGTTTTCTTCAGCCCAGTTTAACTGAAAACTCACTACCTCAGGAGGAAGGTGAGAGTGCCTTCCCTGACTCAGCCAGTGCTCGCTATAGCCAACAGTAAGCCACGGGCTCCCCACAGAGTGTTAACAATAAACATTTCTGGCCCTCAAGGACTGTGGACTCCTGACAGCTTTTCTGTAAGCATGCCTGTTATTGGATGAGCCTGACATGGTGCTCACTGTCTGTGATTTTTAAACAGTTCTTCGACGTCTGTTGAAAGCTATGGGTGTGAAAAAGTGGGTTCTGCCTATGTGGTAGCAGGACCCCTGTCTCAGCCAGATAGTGTTCCCAGACAATGTTCCCATGTGCTATCTCAGGGCTCCCCTGGGTGCACCCTAGAACCAAAATGGCAATCCCGGAGGCTTAGATGCTCTGGCTTCTCATAAACTGCATCATCTGGTCACCAGGGCCGGAGGACAAGTCTCGCTCACAGGCTCTAGCCCACTTCACACATCTCTCCTGCTGTCCTAGAGTTCAGGGATTTAACAGGGACAAACCCACTCTCTTCTATTTAGATGGTTTCAAATGGGTCGTGATTGGATAGAACACCACGTTGAAGACCTACACAGCCCCTCACCACATCTTTGCTTTCGAGCATGAGCAAACATCTGGGTTACAAGCCATCCTCAATGGTTATTTGCCAGGGTGAACTCCACATGGAGGCCTGACTCAGTAGTTTACAATAACAGTGTATAAGACAGCTTACCTGTCACTGTACCTGCAAGTGTTCACTGTTGCAGCCAGTGCCTGTGTCCTTGTCTAGCAGCAGCCGAGGGCAGGGTTTTCTGAAGAGCACAGCAGCATCAAGATAGTTCTGGGTGCACTCATTTTATAGCACATGCACACTTTACAGTTTGTCAGGGAAAAGACAGGCACCCAGCACTAACCAAGCTATGATCCACTTTTACGATAACGCTGTCAGCATTCATGCCAGCTGTTTATTTTTTATTGAAAAGGACAAAATGATATGTCTATGGAAACTCACCATTGTTTAAAAAGACTATTAACTCTTAAAGGCTGTCCCCACAGGCTGGAGTATAAACACGGTGGCCGTGGATCCCATGTAGGGAAAGAGGAACAAAACTGCTCCAAATGTGTTAGATTAAACCTGGGGAAAGAAAAGTTCATGTTTACACCACCATGAAATTAAAATCCTGGTAATATTACAGCTTGAAGTACACAGGGTCAAGCCGGGTATTATGCTTGCAATCCCAACACTAGGTCAAGTTTGAGTGCAGCCTGAGCTATAGCAGTACTCTGAGATGAACAGATACATGAGACAGAGGGAATCCCACCAAAAATGTGGTACCAGCATTGAGGTCTGCCGTAACAAGAACAGGACACACACGACTTGGACTGCTGGGAAAGTCATTTGCCCACAGAGCTAAGGATCTGGCCAAGCTATGTTTGTAGCTACCATTGACTGGCAAATATTCCATTAGACTTGGTTAACAGCCAAGTGTTAGGAGTTGTGAGCTACAAGTTAGTACGCATACATCCAGGTCACATTGTTTTCCTTGTGGCTGCAGCAAGGATGGAATCCAGGGCCTTACTCATATATGGCCAATGCTCTACCACTGAGCTGTATCCTCTGCTCTTGACAACTCTGTCTTGACCGTGTCAGACACATAGTAGCTGTTCTGGTCCCATGTTTATCTGCATAGATTGGGAGGCACTAAGGTTTGCCCAAATTCCCAACTGCTTTTTGTGAACAATAGTATTGAACCAACACTTCACCCCTATGAAGAACAAAAGCAGCGTTAATTACTGTGGGCACTTGAGAAGCACTATGAGAACCTCACTCGGATCTGCGTAGTGTATTATGTATTACTAGAACGTTGTGTACCCATATGCATGTGTACTTGCACAGTGGCCATCAAATCTTGGTCTTACACCCGCTAAGCAAGTGCTTTGCCACTGAGCTACATACATTCCATCCCTGTTTGTTCTACAAGGTTACAAATAACTTACCAGATTTACAAGTGAAGACAACTATTTTAGAAAAGAATCCCCTCACTTTTACCGGTCAGAGATGCGCCAGTGTCCATTTCCATTGTTTCCAGTGTGAGCTATCCACAACTGATGGGACCAGATGGGGAGCTACTGAACGGAACAGGCTCGAGTCAGCTCTCAGCAAAGACTAAACCAATACGGCAAAGTGAGAAAACTTTTAAAATGGGACTGTGAAGACAAGCTGTGTAATTCAGTGTCCACTGGGTGTCTCTGCTGTACTGGGCTGGACTGACTGCAGTTGTCATGAGTTTGAACCCGAGACAGCACAAAGAGGATCACACATACATTAACTTCCTCTTATCTCCTGGTAGGGACGTGAAGGCCCCTCTCCCAAAGAACAAAATGCCTGGTACTTGCCATAGCCATCCCTATGTCCCAAACTGTTGGACTCCCAATACCTTTATCTTGTCCTTGCCCTGGGTAGGTACTGTGTTCAGTATGAACTCATGCAGTCCAGGCTTGTGCTCCTTGGATCCAAATGTAGGGTCTTGGCAGCTCCTACGGATATCCACAGTTGCCTTCTCCCAAACCTTCATCTGCCCCTGCTCCGTTTTCTGATGTAGATACCTCACCTGTGGCTTCTTTTCCCTAAGTCTCATCTGGTTAACACCTCAAATTCTGACTTTCTATACTCTCAACAGACCATTTTTCCCTGCACTTTAGCCCAGTTAGAACTGGAGTTTAGAGGCCCACTTTATTCGGCTTATGAGCCTCAAAATTCTTCCCTTTCTACCAACCCTTGTTCATGTAACTGTTACCCGTATGTTTCTGACACCCACTAGTATTTCCCAGTCATGATGTTTCTTCAAGACCCTAACTAAGCATAAAAGGGTGCTTGCATTCAGATAAACAGTGCTTTCCCAGGGCTGCTGTGTCTGTGGAGATAAGCCTCCTTCCTGAAGTTCCCTATAAATAAAATCACCAGCCTCCCCCCCCCCCCAGGCTTCAAGTCTACAGGGCAGAGGCCTGTCAAAGGCTTTGCCCAGCTGTAGGTACATCCCAGGCAGGTTGGCCTATGTGGTTTGATGAGGCCCTGACTGGTAGCTGTCAAATCGCTTTCCCCAGTCAGTGTTCTGACAGCATCAGGTTACCTGAACTGCTGGGAACCTTTCAGGTGGCACGTGGCCTCAGTGGCATTTTCTTCAGGTGTGGTCTTACTATAAATGGAATGGAATCTGGTTGGGCTGTGGAAGCTGAGCTGTGTGGTGGCAGGAGTGTTTGTTTTGCTCATTGCTACATTCCCAAACCCCTCGAGAGTCAAATCCCATTCTTTTCAGAGCTGCCCTTAAGTAACTCTTGTACTTTTACCAAGCTTAGCACTCACTGAAGGGCTCCCCCACTTAGGAGTCTTTAACAGATACCCAATTTTTTTTTTAACAAATAAATGGAGGGGGGAATTTTTTTGTTGTTGTTTTGTCTTACTATATGAAGGTAAGTCCAAAATCATTCTTGGAGACTTTGTCTTACTTACCAGGTGAACTCTGACTTCATGGGTGCTGTTTCAGACCTCTATGAATCGCTCCATTTAGTAAGAGTGCTCAAATTCTCCGGGTAGTTAAAATCTAAAAGGGTCTTTCCAGTGTTGAGGCTGAGTTAGAAGAATAAAGCAAAACCATAAACATGTCAGAAAAAAAAATACCAGTGGATTGCTGTCTTGGTCAGAAGTGGGGAAGCTACCAAAGAACCAGTAAATCCGACTAGAAAACAGCATGGAAAAACCATTAGAGCAAACAAACCCAAATAAACTAGAAGACTAAGCCGCTCATCACACTTGAAGGACCAATACTAACAGGTGAGGTTCTTATAATCACGTGGTCAAAACGGACAAAGATGAGTAAGCAGAGCCAGGAGATGCCTTCACATATTAAAAGTTATTCATTTTATATAGTTTGGCAGACCCCAGTGTCTCTGACAGGGACGTTGTGGGTGAGCAGCACTGTCAGACTGTAGGTGGCGTGTGAACAGAACCAGCCTCTGGAGGGCAGACTCCGTCAGTGCCTTTCACAACGCAAAGTGTGTGTCGTCTTTCACTTTTCAATACTTACCGTAGCGATGCACGTACAAACGTGACATGACATGTGGACAATGCCCAAGAATGGTACTGTTCAACTAAATAATGACACGGCCATGGTAAGGATGCCCAGCAACCACTAAAGTGAAAAGGTGTCTGTGCCTTGTGGCCATTGCAACATCAGGTGATGAAAAGCAAATGGTGTGTATGTGATGTCACTTCCGGATAGAGAGAAATAAGGCTTTCTATTTATATATGTTGGCTATTTTTTTTTTTAAAGTATGGATGGAAATACACAAAGCCCAGGGAAGAAGGCATCTGTGTGTACTGTAGCATTGTATTTTTGGTATAAAATGTATTTTTTAACCATATGAATGTACCACCTATTCCTATTCAGAAAGTTAAATAAAACAAGCATTGTTTTTTATAAAGCCTATGGCTCAGTACAAATCAAAGAATGCCAAGGTTCCTATACTTTGATTGAATGGTAATAGGCCTTTACAGAAATGACACAAATGGCCCTCGTTATCATCAGTAGAGGCTCTAGGGCTGATGGTTCTGGTGGCACTTTCAGGCTCCACAGCCATGAGTTGTGACTTTGGCTGAGTCTCAACTCATCTGTTTTTATGCTTTAGGAAATAATTGTACTTACCACCTAGTGTGCTGGTGACGAGCTGACGCATGTGGCACCCTCAGCACAGGCTGCCAATGCCTGACATTGTGAGTGTGAGAAGTTCCCCCTCAGATGATGTAGATGTATATTTTCTTTCTGATTCTTAAGTTATAATTGATTGCTCTTGAAATGGAGGAGGAGGAGAAAAAAAAACAAAGCAACAAAGATTGCAGAAACATGTACTTTAATTCATGGTCTAGATTCTGGTGGGTACAACAGTGAATTATATGGAATTCTCCGAAAACTCAAAGTTGCACCTGTAGATGTTACTTCAAATAAAGGACATGTGGATTTCTGTGCTTGGCTTGTACCACGGAATTTCCATGACACCGTGTACCTGGTCTGAGCCTTCTGGTGACTAGCCTTGGCTTCTGCAACTGCGGGGAGGCCTACTGTGAACTGTGTCCAGATGT